TGGGGAGCAGCCCCACGGGGGCCATGGGGTGAGGAAGCAAACAGGGGGCTTGGGGAGGGGGGGAGGGACGGCACAGGAGGCACACTGGGGTGGAGGGGCAGTGGGAAGGAGGGGACAGGAGGCAGATCCACAGTGGGGGGCACAGAGTGGGGATGGGGATGGGTGCAGGGGGATGCACAGGGCCGGGGGGGCTGCTCAGAGTGGCCGCAGAGGCCCCTGGCTCTGCCCTCCCACAGCCCAGTGCCCCTTCCCTTGCTCCCAGTTCAGCGACGGAGCAACTGGGATGGGGGCAGTGCCCCCCCCGTGCCTCAGTTTCCCCAGGGCACGGCCATTAGCTTACAAGGGGGATCCCCATCACTTCCAAGGACTGGCATCCCCCAAAAGCCTGCACAGGCTGTGAACTTCCTCCTGGCAGTGCTCTGGACCCCGGCCCATGGGTGCCCAAGGCGGGGATGTGTGGCCAAGTGGGCCCCAACCCCGGGGCTGGTGTGTGGAGGGTGGCAAGCAGCCAGCGGGCAAGGCGGGCAACGCGTGTCCCTGCCACAGGCCCCGTGCATCACGTGCCCATTGCTAGGTTACAAGGACCCAAAAATAAATCCATCCAAACCACATTAGAAACGTGGGACCTCGGATGAACCAGCCCTGTCGTACCGGGGCCCGGCGACGGCTGCCGGTGGCTCCCCGGTCACCGCAGGCACCGGTCATGCCGGCATGTGATCTCCCGGCGAGCAGGAGTGCTGGCGACTTGTGGGGGCACCCATTCTGCCCAGCATCCCCCCTCACCTGCCCTGGATCCATCCCCTGCCCTGGATCCATCCCCTGCCCCATGCAGCAGCGTAGGGATCGATCCTGCTCCCCAGCATGGGGGAAAGCCCTGCCCCCCCCCTTGTACTGGTTAACATGGGTGTAAAATCCAGGAGGGCACCCTACCCTGGGTGCCCACCCCAACCTGGGTGCCCACCCCACCCCAAGCTCACACCCCACCAGCCCCTGCCTCCTCCCTCCCTTGTGCGGGTGCAGGCGGGTGTTCAGCCACGCTGACCCCTCCCAGCACCCCGATGTTTTGGGGGTCTCTCATGGTGAGGAGATGCTGAGCCGGCCACCTGCACCCCGCAAGCCAGGAAGGACCCAGCTGTGAGGAGCATCACTCCCCCACTCTGGGTGTCCAGAAAGGGGAGCGGGGGGTCTCCACACCCCCACACCCCTGGCACATGGGGTGCATTCTGAGAATGGGGGGATCCTGAGGGTTTTTCTCCTCCCAGGGGAAACTGAGGCAGAGAGCCACGGTTGCTCCTGCCCTGTCATGCCGGTGTCAGCGCCTGGTGCAGGCAGATTTATGGCTTTGCTGTTTCCTGCCACCGGCGCATCAATAATTCAGGGCCCGTGTGGCCGCACCACCGTGGCACAGCCTCGCAGCTGCCTGCAGATTCCTCCTGTCCCCCTCTGTGCCCCCCTCGCCCCGGGGGCACCCTGCGCACCCCCAGCCCCTCTGCCCCAGCTACACTGGGCACCCTCCCTGACACCTACCCCATGTGGGCCACCCCAAAAAGGTGCCTTGGCTTATGGTGCCCCCGCACTCTGATACCCCATCACCCTGACAGCCCAGCATCCCACTACCCCAGCACCTTGTCACCCCAGTACTCCAGCACCCCCAGTACACCATTATCTTGGCACCCCAGCACCTTGTCACCCCAGTACCTCAGGCATGCTGGCCTACCAGCACCCTATGACGCTGGCAGCCCAGAAGCTGGCACTGTGGCACCATGGCACTGTGGCACCCTACCCTCCTAGCACCCTGGTACTGAGCACCCCAGAGCCCTGGGATACCCATACCCCTGCACCCCCACATCCTGGCACCCCGGCATACCCATACCCCAGCACCCTGCCACACCGGCACCCTGGCATGGCCAACTGGCTTCTCCAGCTGTGCCTGCACAGCTGGACAGCCCTGGCCAGGCACGCAGGGTAAGTGTGTTTGCACATGTGTGTGCATACATGTGAGGGTGCATGTGTGCACATGCGTGTGTCTTGTGTGTGTGTGGCTGGCTGGGGGGGCCACGCACATGTGCACAAGTACAGCGGGTGCATCTGTGTGCGCGCACACACATGCAAACATGGCAGGTTTGCATGCGTGTGTGATCAGGGGGTGCACACGTGTGCACCCAGTGCATGTGTGCGTGCACGTGTCTCTAGCATGTGTGTGCGCACTCAGGCATGTGCACGCCTGCCTGTCTGCATGTGCATGCTGGCACCCATGTGCTCCCATGTAGCACACACACTGGCAGCTGGGCAGCCGGCACCAATCCTGCCTGGCACGCCACCGGGGGCACAGTCTTGTGCCAGCTCCCCCCAGGACGCCTGGGTCCCCCCCAGGTCCCCACCACGGGTGGCACAAGGACAAGGTCACCCAGAGTCCACTGGTGGGCCGAGGAGGTTGGGGTGCGGGTGCTACCAGCTGGGGCACCCCCACTGTGGGGGGGTCTGGGTCCTGGGTGGGGGCCAGGCTGGGCAGCGGGTGCTAGGCAGGGATTAGCACCCGGATTAAAGCAGAGAAATTGAGGACGATCAAAGGACAAAATTCCCTGTCAGACAGGGTTGGGGGGGATGATGGCAGTGCAAGGGGCGGCAGCATGGGGTGGCACCCAACTGGGGGGGAGCATATGTTGGGGTGCAGGGAGCAGCCAGGGAGGGGTGGACAACAGGGCAAGGGACACCCTGGGGACACCCTGCTCTGTGTTGCAGGGGGGTCCCCTTTAATTACTGCCTCCCCCAATAAAAAGCTGCATCATCTCAGCGCGGTTTGTTCTGGCTCCTTTCCCTCTAATTTTGGACCCAAAAAACTAGCACAAATGTTTTGCATCTAAAAATACGCCCGGGAGGCAGAGACACGGCCATGTGCATGGCGGGGGGGCCACAGGGCACCCCTGCCTGGCTGGGGCAGTGGCACCCAGGGGTGCCCCTTGTCGGGGACCCCAGTGCAGGTTGTGTCCCCTCCATCCTAGGGATGGTGGGTAGCACTGGGATGGGGACAGTGCCGGGGAATTCAGGCTGGAACTGGGGGTCTGGGCCAGTGTCATGGGATGTGGGCCAGTGCCAGAGGACGTGGGCCAGTGCCAGGGGGTCTGGGCCAGTGCCAGAGGACGTGGGCCAGTGCCAGGGGGTCTGGGCTGACACCATGGGACATGGGCCAGTACCACCAGCAGGTACCAGCAGAACAGGATGGGGCAGGTTCTGGGGCAGCACAGATGGATTTGGGATGAGGTTGGGGTTAGGATGAGGGTGGGATGAGGATGTAGGTGGGGCTGGGGCTGACATGGGATGAAGATGGGGATGAGGATGGGGAGGGGTATGGGGATGGGGATGAGGGTGAGGATGAGATAGGATGGAGAGGGGTATGGGGATGGAGAGGGGGATTGGGATGAGGATGAGGACAGGGACAGGGATGGGATGGGGATGATGGGGACGGAGACAGGGATGAAGATGGGGATGAGGATGGTGTGGGGATGAGGATGGAGATGGGGACAGGGATGGGATGGGGATGATGG